CTTTGAGTAGTGGAGAATGTGTATGACTTAAATTCTATCATTTTTTCCCCTTGAAGAGTGACGTATTTATAAGGGGTCTTTAAGACCTAGATTTTCCTCAAAAAGGGTCACCACTCACTTAGTCAAGTAGTGAATATTTTTTCGTAACCCCAAAAATACCCGAGCGTATCGTTCGCTCGATTATACAATAGAGTCGCCATTGAACTTTATTTATTCCAAACAGAAAGGGAAAATATCGATAAAACCTAAGGGAAAGAGAAACGGGTAAGGGGGTCGGTTATGCGAGGGAAAGATATTAGCACCCCTCACATCTGTCGTACTCCATGGGAACCATTTTGCTTGTCTTTTGCGTGGGTGGGTTTTACTATCTAAGGGTTACTTCCGAAAAAGGAAAAAAAAGGTTTATAATTAGTGTGCTCGTGGAGGTTTAAGGCCCTCGTGCCTACGTATCCTCATAGTGCAATGAGGAAATCAGAACTCCGTAGTTCATAGTAGAAAATAAGTGTGTGTTAATTTTTTTTGGGAACAATTATAATGGTATCCTAGAAGTATGTAGACGTTAGCTGATTTGATCCTAGGCCAGATTCTCCAAGCTTTTAACCTGACTATTAAGGAACAGATTATAAAAGTTCTTTTATAAAAATAAAGAATTTTTTTGCAAAAGGTTTAAGTGTCAAAAGGAAAAGAAAGAGTTGATTGAATAAGAAAAGAAAGATTTTAAATTGCAAAGGTGTTGTGAAAGTATTGTTTAGACCAAGAGTATGTTATTTTAATCCACATGGTAGGTGTCTCTGAACAAAAGAGTGTGGCTAATGCAGGAATGTAGGATTTTTCCTAGATCGGTGGATCAAGACCTGCAAAAGGGGTGTTTGCCTAAGCACAAGGTCTGACAAGAAAAATAATGCAAGAGATGAGGTTTTGTCTAAGAACGAGGTCTGACAAGACAAATAATGCAAGAGAGAATGTCTGCCTAAGCATAAGGTCTGACAAGGCAAACATGCAAGGAAAAGAGAGTTTTTCTAAGTACAAGGTCTGACAAGACAAGCAATGTAAGAGGAGAGTTCATCTAAGCACAAGGTCTGACAAGACAAATAATATAAGAGGAGAGTTCATTTAAGCACAAGGTCTGACAAGACAAACATGCAGGGGAAAAGTCTGTCTAAGAACAAGGTCTGACAAGAAAAACATGCATGAAGAACATTTTAGCCATTACTGGGTGATTAACCCAAAGAGAGGGGTTCGGTTCAGAGACCAGTATCCAAAAAGAATTGTATTTGGTTAAAAAAGGAGAGTATTGTTGCAGTGTTGAAGTGTTGAGGTATGTTGAGGTGTGGGGAAGAATACTTGTCAATTATTTGATTTGAATTACACTAAAGTCTATGAGTGAAGGTGAATATGTTGGACAACTAGGTCATTCGTCATGTATCCATAGATATTCAGAATGAGGATATGAATTCTCCCTATCATTCCTTCTCCACTACTTAAAGTTCATGGCGCATAATTGGTATCGTAATTAACAAGTGTTGAAGGAGTTTCTTTTTGTTGTGCTTGATGTGCTCCTATCTTGAGGTTCAGGCTCTTCAAGGTCTTGCATATGACTCGAGCTTATGCTTGACTTAAATGTGATGTATGGAGTATGAGTTTGTCTTGAGAAGTCCAATGCAGTGTCAATGCAGAGGATCCGTCCTATCAAGTGATCAAGGGACTTTGATCACTTAACTAGATAGGAGAGATAGACAATCAAATGGATTATTCAATCAAAGAGAACTTTGATCGACCAGTCAATCAAGAATAGCATCAGAGTGTGAATCAAACATTTAGATGTTTCTACTTAACCTAAAAATATCAAGATACTGTCAAGCAAATTAAATTCTAACTAAAAAATCATGAAGATGGCATGTTATTTCTAAATCTAAAAACCTAAGGAAATTAAGGTATTAACATATCTCAAATTCTAAAATTACACTAACCTAGAATTAACATGAATAAATGTTTGTCATTTTCCGAAAAATCTTAATTTAAAAATTAAAAGAAAAAACTAAGTAAAGCTATTAATTTTTTCAAAGTGTTTTTTAATAAAATTTAATTTCTATGTATCAAAGTATGCACCAAGAAAGGATTAAAAAGTATAGTAAAAAAATACAAGAATTAAAAGAAAGATAAAAAGAATATGCAAGGGGGTGCAATGTGGGCATGGGTGTAGTGAAGGATAACAGGGTGATGAGCCGGATGAATTAAGCCCACAATGCTAAACACAATTTCAGAGGGGGTATGTGTACGTGCAGGGTGCTAGAAGCAAGTCTGGTGGGACTGAGGCCCAACACACAGGTCCAAAGAGTGAGGAAAGTTTCAAAGTGCACAACCTCATTTGTTTCAGGTCCGAAGTCGCTCTAATTATCTTCGCCAGAGAAGAAATTCGCCACGCCGGAAATCGCTTCCGACGGCAGCGAGGGTCCAAATCAATCCCAAATTACATCAAAATGGTCGTCTTCACATTCTTTCCTATAATCCTAAGTTGTTTTCTGTCAATTCTTAAACCTTATCCCAATGTTAGAAATTTGTTAGATCTGTAACAATGTTAGAAATTTCTCTTAGGACTGTTAAAATGTTACTTGTGGTTAGTTAGTTAGTTAGGAAGGAAGGAAGTTAAGATTAGAACGCGGTTAGTATAGCTAAGTGGTTCTAAAATCAGATGTAGTTACTCTGTTAAAAAACAGGTTAATGTAATATTGTTGCGAAAGATTATTTACAGTGAATTTGAAATACCAATTAAGGACGGCTGGTGTTAAATGAATTTCTGGAATTGAATTAAATGCTACTTTGAAAGTTAAGTTTCTGCAGTGTAAATGGTGTGTTAAAATGAAAGGTATGCTTATTGGGAAATGTATGTTAACTGTTAAGAAAATGGTGCAGGGTGTTTATAGTAATATGTTTGGAATTTCGAAATCATGAGGGCCATGCTTGAGATGATCATCATTATGACAGTTTCCCTTTTTTGGTGAAATCAAAGCTGCGACATTGCAACATGTTAGCGAACTAAGTTGAACTTGGATTGTAGTTGGGAGGTACGTTAGAAACAAAACTCAGCTGGTGATTGTTATGTGTTGACTTGAATTGGAAATGAACTGGTTGTGAATGCATTAATTAGATTATTGAAGTTAGAATGTGAACATGTTGAAGTTAGTTGGTTAGGATGACTTTGAAATATTGTTAGAATGTGAAACTATTAGGAATTAGGACTGTTAGTGCAATATGTGAAATTGAACTGCTATTAAACTTATGAAGCTGACTTGGAACGTATGGTGGTTTAGCATGTCTGATGCAGGTTCCCTTTTGCAACATGGCATGCCAATGGTGATGCAAGTGAAGCGGTGGAAGTAATGGTTGGCATGAGTTAGCATTGGAAGTTTTGGCAAGCTACCAATCAAGAAGGTCTTAAAGACCTTGGAATATCTTGTGAAGGAAGAAAAGTAGAACTAGGGTTTAGATTTAGTTAGAGGTTGACTTTGGTCAACTGGTTGACCAAAAAGTCAACATTTGATCAAAGTAAATTGTAGGTCAAGAATGCAATTCTTGTAAATTGGGATTTTCTTTAACATGACTTGTATGTTTTTATAATGAAACGTAACTCTGAATATATGCAACTTATACTCTAAGCAAAAATGCTTTCTCTCTCAATTTCAAACTTGAATTTGCACACTTCCTGAATTTGGACTTGAATGACCTTGAACTTTGGTTGACTAGATCATGAACCTGGAATCCTTTTAAATTGTAATGCCTTGAATTCAAACAACAAAACTAGACAAATAATCCATGCAAGGTAATCAATAGATAATGGTCTATAAAAGCAAACTCCCCTAATGCATAAAACATTAGCAGAATTTTTTAATCAATGATGCTTGTTTAAAAAATGCAACTATAAATGAATATGAATATGATGAATAAGTCATGTGTCAAGATGAAAAATGTAAAAAAATATGACAAATTTTGATATATGACAAAGTTGAATATTTATTTACAAGAGAGGCGTGAGTCAAGTAAAAAAATATGACAAATTTTGAGATATGACATAGTTGAATGTTTATTTACAAGAGAGATAGTCAAGTAAAAAAATATAACAAATTTTGAGATATGGCATAATTGAATATTTATTTACAAGAGAGACGTGAGTCAAGTAAAAAATATGACAAATTTTGAGATATAACATAGTTGAATATTTATTTACAAGAGAGACGTGCAAGTAAAAAAATATGACAAAATTTGAGATATGACATAGTTGAATATTTATTTACAAGAGAGACGTGAGTCAATAGTGACACTAACTTTCTCTTTATCCAAAATACGTTATATATTGCGTTTTTTCCATATAAAAAAAAAGACTAAAGGATGAAACAATACCTCCCTCTGAGCGACCTTTTATCCTAGAGGAGGTCTTTTATGTATATAGCAACACATTATATAGTAAAAAGTTGAATTTAATTATTAAAATAAAATATTCTTAATCTATTAACTATTTAAAGATAAACTATATTACTTATTTAGAGATATTAATATAAAATGTATTTAAATATGAATTAAAGAGTTTAATGATTTATACCAAATGACAAATCGTCGCTTCCAATGTTTTTATGAAATCGGTTTTTTTATAAATAAAATCGATTTTAATATAAAAATGCATTTTGATATTTAATCGTTTTTTTTTTTCCTTCGATCTAGAATTTTTCTTAAGCGATATTTCGAATTATGGTTAAACACATAATTACCGAAATAATTTTACACAGAAAAAAATGATTTTAGGAATGAATCTCTTTCTAGATATTAAAACTATTTCATACGGAGGGTGTTATTAAACTCTTTAATTAATCCTTAAAGTTAAATTCCTTTTCATAAATACCGTAAAATGAAAACAAAATAAAATAAAATAAAGAAAGATCATAAATAATTGTCGCCCACACATCACATTACAATTAGGAACAATCACCACCGCCTCAACCACCGCCATGGTTGCCGGAAAGCGCAAAGCCAAGAACAATTCCGATGACAAAAACCAGAACAACAATCTCTTTGAATTAATCTCCGATGTCACAACCACCGCACAATCTTTCCTCTCACAAAACGACCTCACTCTTCTCCCTTCCCAATCTCTCCTCCTCGATTCCCTAATCTCATCAACTTCTCACTCTCTCTCTACCCTCCTCAAACCCTCACACCCACTTTCTCTCTCCTCACCCCAACCACAAACCTCCTGGTTCCGCCGTTTCATTTCCTCCACCTCCATCTCCGATTCACGATGGCTCGACGCTTTCCGCATGTCGAATCCCTCCTTCTTCCACCTCCTCGATCTCCTCTCCCCTTCCATTGCCTCTTCGTTTCCCCAAATTTCCCCTGACTGTACCCTAGCCGCCGCCATTTTCAGATTAGCTCACGGCGCGGGCTACACTTCCGTTGCTCGCCGGTTTGGAATTTCTCCGGCTGACGCTTGCCGTGCGTTTTTCACTGTCTGCAAAGCTGTTAACGATAATTTGGGGAATTTGTTCGAGCTTCGCAGTGATTCGAATAGGATTGTAGCGGGTTTTGGTTTTAACTCACTTCCCAATTGTTTTGGTGTTCTGGGTTTGGCTGGTTTTGGAATTGAAGATGAAATACCGGGTAAAAAATTGTTTTTGATGGTTCAAGCTTTGGTTGATGCTGAAGGGAGATTCTTAGATGTTTCTTCTGGGTGGCCAAGTTCAATGAAACCCGAAACAATTTTGCAAGAGAGTAAGCTTTATCATGATATTGAGGAATCAAGAGACTTGTTGCAAGGATCATCTTATAAGCTAAGTGATGGAAGTTTGATTCCTCAGTATATTTTGGGAGATTCATGTTTTCCACTTTTATCTTGGCTTTTAACACCTTATAATAGGGTGAATGAAGAAGATAGTTTCAGTTCAGCTGAAAATGCATTCAATTGTGCTCATAATCGTGCAATGGGGTTATTTGGTGACGCGATTGGGAGGCTTCGAACTCGGTGGCAGCTTCTGTCGGATTCGAGGAAATGGAAAAGAGACTGTGTTGAGTATTTGCCGTTTGTTATTGTTACTAGTTGTTTGTTGCATAATTTTCTCATCAAATGTAATGATCCTTTGCTGAGAGAGAAAAATGGGAGTTGTGTGGAAAAGGAAGGGGATTTTGTTGTTTCTGAGGGAGTGGTAGATGAGGGTGCCGTGAGGATAAGGGATGCACTTGCTTTGCATTTGAGTAGAGTGAGCATCAAAAGATGAATGCTTGGGTTAGGGATGATCTATGTATTTTGATAAGCTAACAATTTGCAATGAAACTCGAGGCCTTTTGTTAATTACTAGTGTCATTTAAACATGAATTCAATTATGAAAAACATATTTGAGAATGCTCCGAAGTTGAAAAGAATGAGATGTAGTTAAACTTTCTATAACTAATATAGTCCTTGGAGGTTAAACTTTATTTTTTTTCTTCCACAGTAAGTGATTTGATTCATCATTTCACAATGATTAAGAAAAATAAATAGTTGAAAGTTTTTATCCTGTATTGAGAATAATGATATTAATATTAATTAAAGAGTAAAATTAAAAAAGATGTATTGGAAATTAAAATGAATCATTCATTTTGAGACACTCTTTTATTTTAAATGAGTCTGTCATTATAAAACAGAAGGAGTATATTACAAACATAGAGACTATGGTATGATAACCAAATAGAAACAAAAGCTATGCAAATCAAAAGTATCAGTATATACAACTTCTCAACTATTGACACAGGACAACTTGATTTTGAACATTTCCGAGCAAACAAAAGTCATATCGTCATGGTTTAACAGTGTCATTGTAAATCTACATTTACTATATTTATTACGGGATTGAGCCTTCTACTTGTTTCCCTAACTTGATGCTGCATTTGGTTGTTGAATGAGTCCATTATAGGAAAACCAAAATGCATCTCTCACCGTTTTAGTTTTTGAGAGATGAATAGATGTTCTGCTCATTAACATTTACTAGGTACACAGTGGAACCAACATGATAGCATACCCCCAATTCCATACCCCGATAAACTCTCTTCTCTTCTTTGTACAACTCGGACAAACTCGTTTGAGCTTAAGATCCCATCACAGTTAGCATCAAACACATGAAATATTATGTCAATCACATTATCTGTAATATCTATGCCGCAAACCTGCATGAACATTATACAATATCATAAGAATATTATTCACGACTATAAATTTATTTTTAGGCATGATAGAGAAGTATTAGTACTTGAGATGCTGCTCTTTGAAAATCATTTTTTGCCAACACTCCATTAACTTTTCCATAACTGAATATCGCCAGAGAGAAGGACTGCAACTTCTTGCGAAGTTCTGCGAAAGCTTTAAATTCTTCAAACGTAATTCTTGTGTCTCGTATGTGTGGCTTGTTGTCTAATTCGTCGACTCTATCCAGCAGTTTGTTTATGTGATTGATATCTGCAGATGCAACCAAGGACAGTGCAAAATCTTTGGCTGAAATGGTTCCTCTTTTTTTGTGATCATAATGTGAAAATTCTAATTGCATGATCTGTTAATTAATTCATTGTTAGAGTTGAGTAATATATTTCGCGATGCAAGATCATGAGGTTGAGAGGCTCACATACCTCGTCATGAAGTTCTCTTAAGAATTGAACAAACTTGTCATGTTGCAAGCAATCTGTTCCATCTTTTCCGAAAAAATGCTCCAAGAGACCGCCATTTTCTACTGAAATTTTGACACCGAGGCGTCGTCCGTCTCTGTGGTTAGCCCCTTGTCGGTTTTGTGATCGCATCAAGGCCATAACTTTCTTGAATTCTTCCCTGTCTATTTCTCTGTTGACAACACAACGGACAAAGCTCAATGAAAATTCTATCAATAAAATCGATCGCCAAAACATAAGGTAGTTCATAAATATAGCTTATGATATTTTCGAAAGTAAATAAGAGGATTCCTACCCATTATTGTCGATATCAAACATTTTAAATGCGATTGAAAAGCTGGATTCTGGTATGCTGAGAAGAGTAACAAAAAATATGTACCTAGAGTCCAAAACAAGAGGTTTTCTTATCAAAATAAAATAGCACTTAAACTCTGAATCTTACAAGTTTCAAGCAAACAAAAGAGACACCAAATACTCACTCTGCAAAAGAAATGAGTCCATCATTATTTGTGTCAAAGAGCATAAAAAATTTAGAAGGATCACATTGCAACGCCCCGGGAATTTGCTCCCCTCTTAAAAAACCCTCTCTAACACGGCTCGATTCAGAAGGAGGAAAGACAGGAACAACAGCACGCATCAAATCTGCAGGTGTCATAAAAATCTCACCACTAGTGGTTCGAATTGTTGCAAAATACTCGTATACCTAAAATCAAATAAGATTATTCAAAAATAGAAAACAAATGGACAACGAACTACGTTGCTTCAATGCTGACAAGATATATTACCTTTTCTGGTGGACTCTGCAAGCGAATTCGTTTTTCATAATTGAAGAACACTCTTCTCCTAAAACCATCTACGCCAAACAAAAACACATAAATCTCAAGTGTTTGCAACAAATAATATGAAAATTTTCAAACAAGAATGAAAGAAAAAGAAGAGTTACCATTGAAGAGGAACTTGGGTTTATTTCTATACTTTGGTTCAAACTGATCTTCAGTAGCATAATCAGAGAATGAATTCAAAGAGTTATTATTATTATTAGCACCAGAAGAAGATAAAGAGGACCAATACCAATAACCTAAGGTGGAACCAACAACCACAACTCCAGAAGTTATTGATCTAAGAAAATATTCAAAATCTCTAACCCTTTTGTCACCACCATTTCTGGATCCACCGAAAGAGCTCAATTTAGAAAATGGCGACGATGACGTTGGTCGTTGTGATTGGCTACACAAAGGCCTAAGTTTATGCCTTAGAGACTGTTGGAATCTTCTGCCCCAAGAAAACATGCTAAGGTTTAGTTTAGTTTCAAAAAACTAAAACATGGGACAAAAACATAGATAAATAGATAAAAAAAGAAGAAGTAATGTTACTAGTTAAGCTTGATGGTTGAAAATTGAGGTTGTAAAGAGAAGAAAACGTTTGAGAGGGAACAATGGTGATTATTCATAACATTCAAACGGATTGAACGGAAAATGTGCGGAGTTTAACATTTTACTCAGATTGTAACTTACCAAGTTTGTTTGTGGTTCTAAAATTTACTAATTTTAGCTATCAGTTTTTTTGAACTAATTTTAGTTATGAGTTTCATAATGTTTCATTCATAATCTATGTATATCTTTTACTATAATTAAAGCTTACATAATCTATTTATATCTTTTAATATTAAAGCTTACTACTTGGCTATTTAAAATTATAAATTAAGTCTTACTACTTGACTATTCACTACTATAAGTTTACATTTGTTTCGATATCGAACGACGGTCAATTTAGTTCATCTAAAGTTAATTATAAATATGGTCTAAAAATATATCTTTTCTAGATAAGTATTAGATCAAACTTTACTCAGTTGTTTGATTTTGTCTATTCCACTTATTCCGCTTCTTTTTCTTCTTCTTTAATTTCTATTCATAGTTTATCTAATATTTGACCCTCTTTGTAGCGGATTTTAATTAAAATGTTTAGGAAAGCCGTTACCAATTAAAATATTATAGTTAAAATTTGCCATAATCATATATAATCTTATTAAAAATTTAAAATAAATTAGCATTTTATATATTTACTCATATATTTAGCATTATATATACTGGAAGTTGTTTTACTCATATTTGAAATTGAATAAAAGTTTGGAAAAAACATTTTATCACTAAAATCAATAGACATGGTTTGTTAATTTATGCACTTTATTACAAAGTTTGTTAATATTCACCTCGTGATTATCACTTCAGACTAATGGTTAATATTGTTTGTTTTCACTTGGAGGTTAAAAGATTTAATTTTTATTACAAAATATTAAAAATAATATCATTATAATAAAAAACATGATAAAGTGGTTTCAGTTTGGATATAGACTAATTTTAAAGTTGAATAAGCTAAAAAACAATCTATAAAACTGATGATAGGTGTTGTTGCACTATACTAGTATACGTAATAAATCAAAAATCGAGGGGTGTTAACTATACTAGTATACGTAATAAATCAAAAATCGAGGGGTGTCATGGCCCATTCCCGCTCCCACCAAGCTCTGTCACTTCCCTCTTTAGCTGCAGATTATAACAAAAGAACTCTATGCTATGCACAAGAAAAATATTTTGGAGTTCACTATGTCAAAAAAGACCTTTAGCAGCGCTTTAAAGCGCTGCCAAAAGTGGCGCTGCTAAAGGTAAATGCAGCGCTTTTTTCAATGAAAAAGCGCTGCTAAAAGCTCCCTTCAGCAACACCTTTAGCAGTGCTTTTTTAGCCCTTTAACAGCGCTTTTGTAAGCGCTGCATAATTCCCCCAACCATCCCCCCGTTTAGCAGCGCTTTCACAAAGCGCTGTCTTAGACCCCACCTTTAGCAGCGCTTTTACAAAGCGCTGCTATAGCCCACCCTTTAGCAGCGCTTTTTACAAGCGCTGTCTTAGACCCCCCCCCCCCCCCTTCCAAACCTATAACAACACTTTTGTAGCGTAATGTTTGTGACCTTTAGCAGCGCTTTTTTGTAAAAGCGCTGTCTAATGTCTCAGATTTAAAAAAAAAAATTTTTAAAATATTCACCCTGTTTTGTATATTTTACCAACAACCTGCTTATATTACACAGACCTACTTATAATTCAGGCCTTTATTTCAACACTTTGGCCTTATAAATACAATTCAAACTTTGGCCTTAAATATACAATTCAAACATTGGCCTTATATGTACAATTCAAAACTTTGGATACATTGTAACTCATGACTTTGTTCATAAACATTTTAATATACACATAAACCTGTTTAAATATGTTACAACAAAATTCGATCCTCAGAATTACAACAACACAAATACATTCAATTCACATATAATTACAAGTCTTCCAATCCGATAACTCTATACAATTCTCAACCCAAGAATAAATTGACACCATTCCTCTTTAATTTCTTCCAATTTTGCTTTCGTGTAAGTAGCGCACTTGAATTCATCAAAATACTACATAATATAACAGATCGAATAAGATTTAACTTTAAAACTAATTACTCAGATGAAGTATCGGATAATTATCAAAATGAATCATATAACTTATATAATGAATTGATCCATACCATGATTGGAATCTCAAGTTGACT